ATGCTATACAGTAAATTAATTTTAGTAGGCGTGTACAATCGTACATAAAGCTACACACCTCAATCATTCTTTATTGTAATATTATTATTAATACATAGTCAATACACATTGTATCTACTAATGTATACATGTACTCACTGATTTCAATAAATCTTGTATCACTGATTGATGAATAATCTCTCTCTCCTCCAAACTCAATTATCCAGTGAGTGGTCTGTGTCTCATTCCAAACTGAGAGAGAATGAGAATCTCTATCAGTGACACTGTCTGGTATATTAGTCTATATACATGTAATTAGAATAATGATAAAATAATATATCTGGTTAATAAAAATGATTTCTCTCTCCTCCTCCTTTCTCCTCCATTGTCAATCACACTAACAAAAATGACAACAAAGGCAAGCTTCATGAGCTCTTTCTTAAAAACTACTTATAGCATAATCTTTCATTTCTTTATCATATGCACATGTCTATAGTGACCAGTTGTACTGTAATTATTAAATTGATTATCATTGAGGAGTGACGTACATGTACAGACAGACAGATCACAGTGGTCTCGTACTTTATAGTAGGACTCACTCATGCTCACCACAATTATATTATAATTCTTACCAGTTCTTTCCATTCCATTTTGTTTATATTTAACAACCAACAGTCATCGGTACACCTAATTCCAGCAAATCCACCCACCACTAGTAGGTGTGGTCCTGAGCTACAGTTGATCAATACACTGGAATGACCACTTCTCTCCTTTGGCCATGGTACTGATCCTCCAGGATTAGGAAACTCTGTACATCTCTAAAATATTAAAAATATTTAATTATCATACATGTAAAACACACACAATACATTAACTAATACTTAAGGATAAATACCATAGGGCTACATACATGCATTTGCATGCAGTAAAAATTAAAAACCATGGAAACCAAAATGGTATTTGAATTGAAAAAGGTACAACATTGAAACAGTTATTTTAAGAAATCAAAAATGAAGACCTTTTCACCAAAAACATGAAAATCTGTACCCAACCTGTATGGTATCAGGAGCCCATGGGCTCCTGATCGTATCTAGTGAAGAGCATACATGTAACTCTACGCCACTACTAAGGCCTTCCCTCATTGTTTACACAAGTACATGTAGCTATTATTAGTGACTGGTTAAATTAGGGTTTTAAGTATACCTGCATTTCACAATTAATACCCACCCTATAAGCCTAAGGTAATTAATATAATTATACTAATAATACACTCACCACTGATGTATCAGTAAATTCAAATACATATGCATCATTACTCCATCTCTCATCACCAAAATAACCACCAAACAATATAGCAGTGGTATTAGTTATTGATGTTAAAGTGAAGTAGTTAATAGGAGGTGGTCTATCTCCAGTGACTGTCGGCGAAGTCCATTCATCTAAAAATAATAAAAATAATATGAACACACACACTCACACACACACTGCCCTCAAGTGGTTCCTGGGTTCAAATAGACACCCTCCATTGGCAAAGATATATCTACTGCCCTCCATTAAATGACACATTATCATAAAATGGTGGAACACTACTAGTCACGTACACTATGGCTACCTTTGCTTAAGTTAATCAAGTCTACCTTATATTGTATAGACTGTGTGGTAGCTCTTTATGGCAGATACCAGACCCTTGACCTCGGTTTCGGCTGTGGGTCTGCTATCTGCCATAAACAGTCTAAATACATCAATTTAATTACTGTATGTAAACTATTTATGACAATATTATACTGACCAGTTTTTAATCTGTACGTATGTATTTCATTGCAACGTTGATAGCCATTTGAATCTTCACTGTACTGGGCACCAGGTTGTGGTGGGTTATTATTAGATGATCCACACCCTCCAATCACTGCAAGATAGTCCTCATCTTTCACTTTTATTGCTATCATGCTGGAGCCGGACTTCATCATAGGACCATGATGAGATGTAGTAGGAGAGAGTTCCTTCCAATTGAAGGTATCAACATTAAAACTGTATAAAATATTATGTAATATTTATTAGTAACTATTATGTTTACCTGTATAAACTATTATGAAAACAGCCCTTATGACCACAATAGCCTCCAAAAAAGAATATTTCATTTCTAATGACAGCAGCAGCATAGCCACGGACACCAAGTGGAGCCGGGTCACCAGTGGTAGGCTTTTGTACCCACTCACCAGTTGGTACATGACAGACCTCCACTACAGAACACATTGATTTCTTCTCTTCATTATTGTGTACTTCAGGGAGATCAGGCTGGTTCCCACCCCACATGTACAGGTAGTCTCCTACCTGCACTGTAGAGTGACCGTACCTCTCCACTGGTGCATAGACTATAGATAACAAGAGGATACAGTAGTATAGTGAATAGTTATAATAAGCAGAGGATACAGAGGAGTAAAGTAACGGAGAGAATAAGAAAGAAAGAAAAGCGAATAAAGTTACTCACCTTCCATCCAGGGGCGGATCCAGAGGAGGTAGGACACAGTTGACCTTTGAGCAATAATTGCAAAGTTCAATGGACCTTTTGCACTTAAGCGATTCTAATTAACGCGCACCCAAAGTGGTGGTAAAATGGCGGATTTTTGGAGGACAAACAGGCTGAACAATCTTCTCTTTTATCCAGCCATTCTAGCTGTAGGAGCCACTTTGAGCTGTCCTTTTGTTTCAGTATACTCTATTTATCTCTTCTGTAAGTTCTTTGGTTGCTGTTTTGGCTTTTATAGCATTTTATCATAGGAATATTCTCATCCATTGGCAATTCCCGTTTTTCTAAATTTTGCTTTCAGGAGCCAAGGCGCTTGCCCCTCCATTGCTATGAAGACAGAAGTATATTCAGCTGAGTCCTATGAATAGTGTCAATCATCAGACTTAGTCTCAGTCCATCAGAACCAGGTACGGTGGAATAACTCACTCAGTTGTCATGTTGCAGCTGGAGTGTGGATGATTATGAGCATCTTTTCACTTCTTAAAACTATAGGTTGGCTCTTTAATCACATGTAAGAAGCATTCCAAGGAACATAAGTGTGCTGGAATAGCTGAGCATCATGTAACTAGCTATCAATAGTAATTTACTCTATTATCTATGGGTCCATTGACCACGAGAAACCACACCTCTTTTTATAATGAATATCATTATTTAAGCGAATAATGACTTTTTAATAAAACAAAAAACACATTTTTAAAAGAAACAAAACACAAGACAAGAACAATTAAAGAAGAGAAAGACTAAAAGAGAGAGAGACCAATTACTAGATTAATTCATTGAATACAGTCTCCACATATCATCCTCATTCATAGGTCCTGTATCAGTAGTAGTCTCACTGTTCCCTGTACATTAGTAAGAGCTTCAGTAGCATAGTCCTTAGTTACATTATGTATTATTAAATCATTAACTGCTACCAGTTCATCTCCAGTCTTTATCTTTGAGTCTTTCTGTAACACTGACTCAGGTAGGATCCTCTTTACGTAAATGGGTACGTCCCCAGTGGGAGAGCCACGCCCACCAACAATACTGAGACCCAACCCCTGACCAATTCTCCTTTGATAACAACTTAGCCTGTAACTTCAACTCATTACCAAAGAGAAAGAGAGAGATGTAACTAAAGAAGGAAGGGTGTAATATAAATTTTATATAGTTGTGGGTACAATAGTATTCACTATCTAACCTAATTTACTTACAT